AAGTTGAAATTTTAAAAAGGCACAACCTTAACTTACATTAACTATTTTTTTGAAAAAGTTGACAAAAAAAACTGAGTTTTAAAAAAAATTAATAATTTTGAAGTTATTTCGGTGATGGTAAGTTTCCAAATGTGATCTATGCATTTATTGAACAAAATTGAAGGTGTGTTAAACATTGATGTAAATATATTTTTAATTTATTTAAATATGGTTTATTTTTAATATTTATAAAATGGATTAGTTTTAAATTTTTAACTTTTCTAGCAGTCTATTTTTTTTATCTTTGTTATTAATTTTTTTAAAAATGAAAAATATTAATTAGTATACTTAACGTAAAAAATATTTCAACTAAAGATAAATATATTTTTATAAATAATTTAATTAAATAATATATTTATTATCTAATGTATATCCATTATATTTTGATATAAATTTTTTTTGGTATATCAATTATATGAAAACAACCATGGTTAAGCAATTAATAATAATAAATCAATAAATTTAAAAACTAGATTAAAAATAAAGTATCATAAAATAAAATTGTAATAATTTGATTGAAATTGTAATTTTTAATTAATTAAATTAATGAGGAATTAAAATGTGATAATTTGATGTGTTCAATTTTTTTAATATAAATTTTTAAAATATAATTTGATTTCAATTGAAATTTTCAAATGAAAAATATATTAAAGAATATTTGTTATTAAACTTTTCTTAAACAATGTATTGAATAGTTAATATCACTCCACTATTAATTTATTAGAATTTAAATTTTTAATAATTTTGATTATTTTTAATAATTTTTTTATTTAATTAATTTAAAATTAAAGTTAATCTTCATTTTATTAACATTGAGACCAAAGTTTGTTTTAAAATATATTTAAAAGAAATTATTTTTAAAAAATAAATTAATTTTAAAAAAGAAATTGTAAAAAATATACTAAAACAACTAAAGTATATTTATAAAAAAATAAATTTAAATATAATAAAACAATAATGTTCATTAGCTGACCGATTTCAATTCGATCACTATTTTCTCATTAGCGACTAATTTCAATTTGGTAACTATTTTAATTTGTCATTCGGTCGCTAAATGATTTTTTTATTTTAGTATTGAATAACCACTGAATTAGCGACCAAAATTTTGTGACGTAAAAATATTGGTCGCTAAATAAAAAATGAAACTAAATAATATTTTGGTGGAAAAATTGGTCGCTAATTACGATCGAATTAAACCATTCGCTAAATCGATCGCTAAATTGCGATCGAATTAAATCGATCGCTAAATCGGTTGCTAATTGCGATCGAAAAAATTCGATTACTAATTTCAATCGCTAAAAGTATTTTTCTTATAAGAATATAATTTTTAATGTATTGAAAATTTTAAATAAGATTTGTTTATCTACAATTTTTCAAAATAAATTTTAATTTTTAGTTGTTATAAATTAATAAATTTATTTAGTAATTTTTATTTGGTTGAGAAATATTTAATTTTTTAGTTTTTTTAAAATTAAAATTAATAAAATATATTTTCTATTTTTATTGATACATGTGTAGTTATATTACATCATTTAATTTTATTATTATAACGAAATTATCATATAAAGTTTTTTGTTTAACTCCATGTCATAATGGGTGTTATTTTTTATTTAAAATAATTTATAAACTAAAATTATCAAACAAATATTTCTAATTTTTTTTACAAATATTTTTTAGAATAAATTTAAAAAGTTAAAAAATAAAATAAATTCTAAATAATGACTACATCGTAGCAGAATCAGGTATACACTATAAGGGAACAGGTATATACTTCCTTTTTAAAGGGAGCCATGAATTTTTTTGTAATAAAATTTAATGGAAATTAAAAGTTTTTGGAGACAAGATCTCCACCATAAAAGTTTTCCGTCCTTGCTTGCATGACATCACGTATTTGTCTTCACATGGGAGTATAATGGTGTGACCAAGACAAGAAATTAATAACTTGCAGGATTTTCTTATTCACAAGTCTTTTTGGCCCACACATTTCTTTAACGTCCATCTTTTCTGTGTGTGGTGCTGCTGCTTATAAATGATCAAATTCGTTTTGGATCTTTACCTAACAGACTTCGTTTTTATTATTAGAAATACAGCTATGAAATTATCTATAAAAAGTAATTTTTGAAAGCCAAGTCAAATGAGTTCATGTAAATTTTGGTGAAGATAGCATCCTATCAAAGGGTGTATATATATGAGTAGAATCAATTCTCATAATTGTGTAAGTCATGTAATAAACCTTTGAAAACTTGAACGTGAAGTTGTTGAAAAGTTATATGAAAAAGGAATTATCAGTGTGTGAATGGCCTCTCTCGCGACAAAAGAAACATGCAACAATTATCACATCAAACCTAGATTATATTCATCTCTACCCACTCTCTTCTCAACGTGCTTTCCTATATGTTTCATATATATATATATATATATATATATATATATATATATATATATATATATATATATATATATATAATATTAATTAATAAATCAATTAAATAACTACTTGGATATAATTATATAATAATTACGAATTTAAGAATGAATTTAAAATTTTATATTTGATAAAATCAAAAAAATTAAAAATTTTTATTATCTAATGAGTTTAAAAAAATCATAATTTAATAATTTTTTAAAATTTTTAGTTTAAAATATTTTTTATATAATTTATTCGTATTTTATTGTTAAAAATATTCTTATTATTAATCTGATAAAAAATATTTAATAATATTAATTTATTTAAATTATACGTGATTTTAAAATTATTTATTTTAAAGTGATTTATATTATTTTGATATATTTTTAAGTTTTATATTATTTAAAAATTGAGATCGATATTCATTTATATATATATTTTTTAATTTATTAAAATATTTTTAAAAATAAAATTATAAATAAAACTTTAAAACAAATAATATCTTAATATAAATTTTAATTATATTATTGATATGAGATTGAAATAATTAATTTTGTTCTTAGATAAGACATATATAACTTGTGATAGAAAAGAATAACTATTATTTAGGTTTAATTTTTTTCTTCTATTTTAAAGAAAACAAAAGAAAAAGGTTTATATGATACAAAGTTAACTGTTTTTTTGTTAGGTTTTTTTCCTTTTACTCTTTTACCCTAAACCAAATATATATATATATATATATATATATATATATATATATATATATATATATATATATATATAATTTGTTTTTTCAGCTAAATCACTGCCGACGAATTTGAACAGTACAAGCAGCCTCTCACTGTCACCTTTTACTCTTTCATATTTTCTTAATCTTTCTAATTAATTTTTTATTTTCAATCTTTTAAATCAAATTGACAAAGACAAAGTTAAATTTTTTTTCTTTTTCTTATTTTAAATATTTTACATAATAGTATTTAATATTATTTTATTTATAATTTATATTTATTATATTTTATTATATCATATTTTTTTAATCTTATTATTCTTATTATCATATATCAAATATTATAATAATAATAAAATAAATGTATTTTAAGGGATTAAAAAGAATTAATAATTTAAAATTTTATTATTTTAAACTATTTAATAAGAATTAACTTATTAAATATTTTTTTATATAATTTATATTTTTAAATAATAATTAAAAAATTGTAATTAAATATTTAAATATAATATAATAATATTATTATTATTATAAATATTCAAATATTTAAATATAATATAATAATAATAATGTGTATTTTATAATTATATAAAAAATGATTAAATATTATATATATATATATATATATTAGTATAAATATAATAAATTAAAAAATATATTTAATTAATAATAATTATAAATTATAAAATTATAAATATTTATTTATATATATAAAATATTAATTTATTATAAATATAATTATTTAAAAATAATAATGTAAATCCAAGTCAATATGAAATAGAAAACTCAAATCCAAAAAAACTCACAATTAAAAAATAAAATAAAAATGAAAGTCTTACTTTATAACCTCCTTGGAAATAAAAAAAAATAAAACAAAAACAAAGACGATTAGAAAAAAAAAGCCAAAAAGTAAGGATAGGAAAGGCAAAATCGCCTCCGGTGCTATGTCTAATAACAGTCACGAGAACAAGTTAACAAGTAGGGATGACAAAACGGGCTAGGTCCGGCGGGCTGGCGGGTTGATGTTTTCAGTCCACCAGCCCGCTTTGGCTCGCCCCACCAAGCCTGTCAACCCATCGGGCCAACCCGCGTGACGGGCGGATCGATCCATGGTTCGCCTAATTAATAAAAAAATAATTTTTTATTGTAATAAAATTAATTATAAAGATAATATATAAAGTTAAAAATTTAAAAAACAGAATTAAAAAAGTTTCATTCTCACAGAAAATATTCTCCTTCCCGAAATATAACCTTCTCTCATGTTTTCCTTATTTATCATAAGCACTAATTATATTTATCATTATTACTTGAATTAAAGGTATAAGAATTACTTAACCAAGAATAATATAAAGTTTTATCAAATAAAAAAGATATAGGTATTTGAATTTTTCAATATAAAAATATAAATTTTATAAGTTTAACGTTATATATATATTTGTTATTTTTTATTATTATGTAAATTTTATTATTGTTCTAAATTATAATTTCTTAAAATAATGTATTGATTTATATTATTAAATTGAAATAATATATATATATATATATATATATATATTGAATTATTGACAAACAAATAATAATTTTATTAAAAAAAATTATTTAAAAAAAATTATTTTTTCTAAATTATGACGGACCAACCTGCTCTTGACGAGGCGAGTCAAAGTCTACAGCCCGTTATAACTATATCGGACCAGTCCACCCCACCTCTTTTGCCATCCCTGACCAGTTATATATACACACAACATTGGTCTTATCTATCACTTGTTTATTAGCAAGACAAGTGAGGGCAGCCCTAATACCCCCACTCTTACACCACAAACACTACCAATGGATGGTGGCCACTGCGACTTCAACCACAACCTCAACATTCCCCTCGTCGAAGACCAAACCCAACGATGGCAACGAAACCAAAACCCTGAAACAGATTCTACGAATGTTTACGGCACCACATCTTTTCTCAAAACTTGTTTCAATGGACTCAATACTTTGTCAGGTACTCTTCTTCACCATTCTATATGTCATAACCTCGTTATATGTTTTTTTAGTGCTCTTCTCTCTACTTTGCATACATGCAATTTTTTTTAATAATCTTACTTTCGTTTGCCGCTTTTTTTATGGAGCTGAGCATGAATATATATAATATATATTACAGTCCTCATTCAGCAGAATAAAGTGTGTGGTTGGTGGTGAATGAACATGAACCTCCTGTTGCTTATTGAAATTGTTTTTATTGAAAAAAAAAAAAATCCATTTGAAAGAAAGAAATAGTAGATTATACATGATCTACTTCTGGCTAATCATATTATCCTGATCTCTCCTTGATCGATGTCTCCTCCACTTTACCTCTTCTACTACTCCACCACTCCAATGAAAATAAACACGAATGATGAAAGTGACAAGTCTGTAACATTGTACATGTCGGAAGCAGATATTTGGAGGGGGTAGACCACACCTGTTCAGAAAGCTCAGCACCCACTTTTCTTTTTGGTCCAGCCATTTTAAACTTCATCTCTATTCAACATTTACCAAAAAGAAAAAAAAAATGCAATCTTTTTTACTCTTTCATAATGAATTTTTCGTAATAATAAATTATTAATCCCTCGATCTTATCCTGATTTTTTTTTTCAAACACCATCTTGGCGGTCCAGAGAATAATTCTACTCCCTATATACATATATTTTCTTTATAATTTTCCCTTCTTTTTGATTCAGATAAAATGATAAGAGATAAAATATAAGGAAAGATATGAGTGAGAGATTGAAGGAAAATAATAATTGTAAAACATATTTCCAAGAGTAATTATATTTTTCTTATTTACAATATATATACTTAAATTATATTATTTTCCATTCTAAATATATACTTTTCTCTATTGAAAAGTGAATATCTATTATATATAGTAAAGTTAATTTTAATGAAAATGAGTTTGTTTATAGATATTTTTTCTCTCATTATTCTCAACATGATTCATAGTTAGTTTTAAATATTCTAACTTCTGTGGACTAAAATTCATGATCAGCTGAATGGTAGCGTTATTAATTAGCACAAAAGCATAAATCATTTTTAAAATAATTTGTAAGTTTTATTTATTAATTAATATTTTATTAAATAAATTTAAAAAATAACTATATTTATTTTTTAAAATAATTAATTATAATTAATAATTTAAATTTAATTGATTTATTTTATAATTTAAATTATAATATATTTTTATATTTTAATAATATAATATCAATAAATATAATATTTTTAATTATAATTTTTTATTTTAATTTTAATATATAAATATTTATTTTAAAAATAAACCACCTGTCTATTTTATAAAGATTAGTATAGGTAAAATAGAAAAAGCTAAAATTATTAATTCCCTCCATTATTTTTTTAACTAGGTTGGCGGGGTGACTGCCACAACTAATCGTTTTACCATCCTAAAAATACGAAAGTGGTACGTCCTTTTATCCTAAAAGCAAAAAGTAGGTTGATTTATCATATAAGTAGCACAGATGGTAGATTTTAATCCGTACTAAAGAGGGTTAACAACTTAGTTTTTAGTCAATTTTTATTTTGTTATACATTTTTAAAAATCAAATTTAATTATATAAATATCTTATAAATCTTTATTTATTAATTAATATATTTTATTAAATAATTTAATAAAATTATTATATTTATTATTAAAATACTTAATTATACTAAATAATTTAAGTTTGATTTATTAATATTTATGATTTAAATTATAATATTATAATGGTATATTTCGGTAATATAATAAAAAATTATAATATTTTAAATTTTATTATATGTATTAAAAAGAACTCGATTACTATGCAATACACTAATAAAAATGAGAAGGAAGATATTTGAGGTGATTTACAAATTAAATGTTGTGCTCCTTTTATATTAAGAAAAATAAACACCAACATATAATTTTCCTAATATATGACTTCTCTTCTCACAATCTCCCATTTTAAGATTTTGATTAAATTAATCAAATCTTCACAATATATTATTATTGTATTTTATATTGTTATTGCAATAGACCTTTAGTAGGATCGCCTCTATGTAAATTTGTCAATGCTAACAGATCTGTCATAATATCTGCTAGGTTTTTCTTGCTTTATCCTGAAATACCACTACTAAAAATTCTCATTTTATGGGAATATTTTTGCAAACATTTTATAAAAATTGCAAGAAATAAATTTTTTATAAATTTAAATAATTTTTTACAAGAAAATTCGTAAAAATTAACTAATATTTTAATAGTGTACGAGGCGTAATTCATTGCAATGTGCAAGACATTCTGACTGTTACAATACACAACAATTTGTTGTTGTTTGTGCCCGAGTTCCTTCATTATCCTCTTAATCCAAATAACTTCCTTATATGCTTAGATGACTGCCATGTACTCAGTTTCTGTAATAGACAGAGTTATAATATCTTATAACTTGGATAACCAGTTATTACATCTCCAACAAAGGTAAACTTATCAACATCACCCGCAAAACCTGAACAAACATAGCATCTGACAACTAGTTTTGATCCTCTGAAACATAATACAACATCCAAGGTTCCTTTGAATTCTCTTGATAATACTCATGCTCTCTCCACAATTTTTCATTGATCTACTAACCGCTCCCACTAATGTTTGGTCTTGTACCGATCATGATATTCATAAGACTTTTCACCATCAATGTATACAATATTTAAGACATTTCCATCCTTCCTATTTCATTATTAGGACTCATATTTGAGGATAACTTGATAGAAAATGGGGTAAAAATTGGTTTACACCCTTACATGTTGAAGTAATGTAAGACCTTCAGTAAGTATTCTTCTGATAAAGTCAAATCTTCCTATCTTTTATGTCCCGGTGAATTTGCATCCCTAAAATCTTGTTTGTTTGTCCCTAATTCTTCATATAAGACTTCCTAGCCAACTGTACCTTCAAAACTTGGATTCGAACTTTGTTGGAGCCTACCACCAACATGTTATCCACATATAACAACCGAATGGTAAACTCATATTAAATCTATTGTAATAGGTACAATAGTTTGAAATTAATCTATTGTAATCAAGGCCAATCAGATGAATCAAATCTCTTATACTAACACTTAGACATCCGGTTTAAATCGTACAGAGATTTGGTTATCCTGCAAACCAAGTTTCCTTTTTCTTTAAATCTTCTGGTTGGAGCACATCAATCCTTTCTCTAAGTTCACCCTGAAGAGAAATAATATTTATATCACCGTTAATAATAACCTTGTGAATAGTGAGATCCACAAGAAATATCCCTTCACATTGATAGCATAATCCAAGAATTTGTCTTTTCTGAACTTTAAAAACACAGCTTCTTTTTGATGTGGTACACCATAATTTCCTAGAGTAATTATTGTCATCACTGATACAAATTTGGCCCCTCCTAGGGATAGTACCGATGATTCCAACACATAATAAATCAAGTTCAATATGTGTTTCTTTTTTATACAATTTGGCAAAGGACTTTCAAATCTCTTTTATTGTGCCTTTCTCCACAAATTTGCTATAGTGTTGTTGTAAATTTCTTTCCACCTTAATCTGTGATGCCCACGATCTTTTTCCAATTGCTTTTACAAAATTATCTTTTCTCAAAATTGTCTTCATCTTCAATTTCAACAATAAGAAATTATTTCATTGCTAAGACTCATACTTGAGAATAACTTGATAGAAAATGAGGTAAAAATTGGCTTACACACTTACATATTAAAGCACGGTAAGAACTTTAGTAAGTATTCTTCTAATAAAGGCAAACCTTCCTATCTTTTATGTCCCGATGAATTTGGATCCCTAAAATTTTGTTTGTTGGTCCCTAATTCTTCATATTAGACTTCCTAGCCAACTGTGTCTTCAAAACATGGATGCAAATTTTGTTAGAACCTACCACCAACATGTCATCCACATACAATGACATAATGATACAATCATTCTCATCAATCTATTGTAATACGTACAATAGTATGAACTTAGTCTGTTATAATCAAGGTTAATAATGAAGAATCAAATCTCTTGTACTAACACATGAATACTCAGTTTAAACCATACAAAAATTTGGTCAACTTGCATACCAATCCTTTCTCTAAGTTCACGTTGAAGAGAAATAATATTTGTATAACCGCTAACAATAACCTTGTCGATAGTGAGATTCATAGAAAATACCCCTTCACATTGTTAGCATACCCAAGAATTTGTCTTTCCTGAACTTTGAAAATATAAACTTCCTCTTGATGTGGTACATCATAATCTCCTAGAGTAATAATTGTTATCACTAAAACAAATTTGGCCCCTAATAGGGATAATACTGACGATTCTAACACATCATAATAAACCAAGTTCAATATGTGTTTCTTCTTGATACAATTTAATAAAAGACTTCCAAATCTCCTTTGTTGTACCCTTTTTCACAAATTTGTTATAGCGTTGTTGTAAATTTCTTTTCACCTTCGATCTGTGATACCCACGATCTTTTCCAATTGCTTTTACACAATTATTTTTTCTCAAAATTGCCTTTATCTTCAATTTCAACAATTGAAAAATTATTCCTATTAAACTTTTTTATCTCATATTTTGTTGTCATGATTTTAAGCGATTTATGCACCTTTCACTTTGAATATTATTGCCCATAACTTTTTCATAGACATGCACTATTATATTACCACACTTTATATCTAGTAACTAGAACCGCAACTACAGAGTATACTAAGAATTTTCTCCAACACTATTCTAATGATTATAGTAGCGGAATAATATTATAAATAAGAAACAAACTATTAGCTCTGATACCACTGTTAGGACAATCAGAGTAATTGCATAAGAATTTACAACTAAAATTAAAGATTAAAAAAGAGAAACAAAACAAACAATGAGTAATAATAAAATTTTACTATCGGAAGAAATTACAATACCCTCTTTAAATCTAAGGAGAAAACAATAATAATATTCTTTCTTACAAATAAGAGAACTCTACTACTATATAATATACTAATAAAAAAGAGAAGAAATAGATTTAGGATGATTTACAAAATAAACATTGTGCTAACTTTATAATAAAAACAATAAACATCAATACATAATTTATTTGATATGATATTTCTCTTCTCACATCTTTTCTCAATTAATGAGTCTAATTTTCAAAGTTTTAGAAAAATCAAAGTTTTAGAAAAATAAATCTTTTCCTAATATACAATGACTATAATAATGTGAGTTAGTCTTTGTAAACTTCATTAAATTTTAGTGAATGTGATTGAATCAGTACGTTGAGTAAATTTACTTGACCCATTTGAAATCGAATATAGTATTAAGTTAAAAAATTGTTCTATCCATTTGTACAGTTAAATGACTGACCATTCATATATACGTGCACCTAAAACATGTGTAAGGTGTGATGCTTCGGACACCGTCATTTTCATACATCGTACGACAAGAGAAAACATAGTCATTCTTACTACTCGGTGCTTAATGGCCTTTTATCTTGCTATCAAGTGGGTGGGACCTATGTTCGCCTCAAAAGTTCTTACACGGTTTCTTTCTTATTTGACACATAATAAAGACGAAAATTAAAATACTTTAAAAGGGAATTAGTTTGATCTTATCCAAATAGAGTCAGACGAAATACGCAAAAGGCCGAGAAAATTCTCTGTAGATGCAACTATTAATTCTAGTCTGCTACTTCACTAAAAGTAACTTTCTATTCTTTTAGTTTATTCTCTCCATAATTTTTCTTTTTCTTTTCAACCCTAGCAATTTTTTAACTTTGTATTCATACATTCCGAATAATACTAAATATACCTAATTAAATAGTTTGAGTAGTTTCAAAATAAGTAAAGAGTACTTTTTGTTTTTGATTCCTCTATGGTCAATAGTGGATGCACTCAAATGTTGATTGGAGAAAAAACCCGTTTAAAATAAGTTAAATATTGTCAAACTATAGTTCAGAAACAAACTCGTATTTGGTAGCAAAAATTGACAACCGTGTTCACGCGTGACCCATAATTGAAATCAGGTTTGTTGAATTGGGAAATATCATAAACGGTTTTGCGACTCTTATGGGAAAGTGAACTCCACTACAAAATTTTATGTATTTATTGGACCAGTTCTGCCATCAAATTCAATCCACTCAAGTATCAAACTTCTTACAGCAAAATAGATCAACATCTTTTTCCTCAATTCTATATCAGATTCTGTTCAAATGTCAGAAAAACATTCATACAATCCTTCCTTGAACGTGCCTTTACTTCTCAATGACGAGGAGAAAGCCATAGCCTCTCATCCCACTGCCAAAAATACTGTATCCTTCTTTGGCACCTGTCTTAATGGACTCAATACATTATCAGGTTTCATTATCTACCACACACACACTTCCTTTCCTTATCTGAAACATATCTACGTTTATTTCAGCATATTTTAATGAAATGAATATGTTTATTTTATTTCTCAACCTAAATATATTAGGTCAATAAATCAAATGAAACACTAATTAATGATTTGTGTGTGTGACTTTGGTTTAATTTACAGGTGTTGGGATACTCTCAGTTCCATATGCTCTTGCTTCAGGAGGATGGTTAAGCTTGGCTTTTCTGTTTGCTATCGCCGGTGCTGCATTTTATACGGGCCTTTTGATTAAAAGATGCATGGATAAGAATTCCAACATTAGAACATATCCTGATATTGGTGAACTTGCATTTGGAAAGACAGGAAGATTAATAGTATCAGTGTCCATGTACACGGAACTTTATTTAGTTTCAATAGGATTTTTGATTCTTGAAGGTGATAACATGAGTAATATGTTTCCCATTAGGGAGATGCAGATAGCTGGCTTAGAACTCGGGGGAAAACAATTCTTTGTGATATTGGTTGCCCTTATCATTTTGCCTACATGTTGGTTGGATAACTTGAATTTACTTTCTTATGTATCTGCAACTGGAGTCTTTGCTTCTATTCTCATCATCCTATCAATATCATGGACTGTAACATTCGATGAGGTAGGACTTCATCAAAAGGGAACTTTTGTTAATTGGAGTGGAATTCCAACATCTGTTAGCTTGTATGCCTTTTGTTATTGTGCACATCCTGTCTTTCCAACCTTGTACAATTCCATGAAAAACAAACATCAATTTTCTAATGTAAGTATAGTTAAGTTTGATTTGAATTTAAACGTTCAATTTAATCCTATATTCAAATAAAGTGCATTTATCTTTTATTTTCTTCTTTTTTATGTAATGAATTTTGTTTTTTTTTTGTTTTAATATTGCAGGTTCTACTTGTATGTTTCCTCTTAACCACTGTGGGTTATGCATCCATGGCCATAATTGGTTATCGAATGTTTGGAGATGGGATTGAATCACAAGTAACATTAAACTTGCCATTGGACAAAGTCAGCTCAAAAGTAGCAATATACACTACCTTGGTCAATCCTATATCCAAGTTTGCTCTGATGGTAACACCGATTACAAATGCTTTAAAAGACTTGCTTCCAAGGACATACAAGAATAGACTGACTAGTATCTTAGTTAGCACGGTCTTGGTAATGAGCGCTACCATTATTGCCCTTCTTGTTCCTTTCTTTGGGTCTCTCATGTCCCTAGTTGGAGCCTTTCTAAGTGTGACAGCTTCTATTCTGCTTCCATGTTTGTGTTACTTTAAGATTTCGGGCACTTATAGGAAATTTGAATATGAGACTGCAGCCATAATAGTGATAATAATGACAGCTATAATAATGATAATATCTGGAACTTACATCTCTATCATGGAAATAGTCCAACATTTGTAATCAACAGTACAATATTCACGTTATTCATTATAAACTCCTTGTAAAATTATTGTTCTATTAAAATCACTTAATCTTTGTTTTCTTTACTTTATTTACACCTAAAGTAGCGATATAGTCAACATCTTAAGTTTATAATTTTTATATTTACTCAGAATTTCTTTGGATAACACAATGTTAAACATTCAATGCCCATGTATTTTTAACTAATGACCACTTTTCATCATTTTTAATTTCATATAAAAGGGTTAAGTATGTTTTTATTCAATGGTTTGGTTCTATTATATGTTTTAAAAGTTTAAATCAAACAGAATTCGAACCTAATACCTTATAATTGGAGGTTAATACTCCAACCACCTAACTACTAGATTTTTTTAATAATAATTTATAAATAAATTATATTTATATATAAATAAATGTATATTCATGTAAATATATAAATATAAAATATATAAATATAAATATATTTATATATATTTATATGTTGTATGTGAGAGCACGCTCGAAGGTTAAAGTGTGTCTCAAGTGAGTTTTTAAAATTTGATACCAAATTTGTGAGCGAGTAGGTTTATAATTTAATGATAGAATAATCTTTATAATTTATTTATATAATGATATAAAATTTGGGAAACGTGTCATTCGCTCAAGCGAAAAATACTAATTTTTGCTCAAACGAGATATTTTTACTTGATCGAGTGAATTTCCGTGAACTTTAACATATTTTCGCTCAAGTGAGAGTCATTTCCACTATCACCTTCGAGCACGCCCTCACATTCAATATATAAATATATAACTATATAAATATATATAAATATATCAAAATATATAAATATATTTGTATTTATATATTTTATATTTATATATTTACACGGATATACATTTATTTGTATATAAATATAATTTACTCGTAAGTTATTATCGGAAAATCTTAGTAGTTTAGTAGTTGAAGTATCAATCTTCAACTCTAAGGTACCAGGTTTGAATCTCGTCGATGACAATTCTTTAAAAGTAGAAACACTTTCTACATCGGTTACAATTAATACTTGATATATAAAGAGTGTGTATAATTTTTTTTAATTATTTTTTAAAATAAAAAGACTTTCCACATCGGTTCATCGAGAACCGATGTAGAAAGTACTTTCTACATCGATTTATTAAAAACTGGCGTAGAATGTGTTCAACTTTCAACGTTGTTTTTTAACCAATCGACATTAAAATTGTATTTAATGTCGTCTCAGTTTTAACCGACGTTAAATGATGATGTGGAAAATATATTTTGTAGTAGTGGGTATTTCTGAGGGGGACTAAATTAGAATTCTATTACATAATTTGTTAGGTATTTCTGAGAGGACTAACAACAAATAAATTCTTACAAATGGGTCATGAACCAATCATATAAGAGAATATGACACCACTTTCAACCCAAAACATTAAGGCATTAGGTTATAAGTTTTTTTCACTTATAAGTCACTCAAGTTTCTCATTTCTACCTAATGTGAGACTTCAAACTCACTTGAATTCTCAATATCTTCCCTTCAAGTGTGATTCCCTTTCACATTGATATACCTCCTGTCGCCGCCGTCCAAAAAGGATAATGGCGGTCGGAGCGACGCGATGGTTTTTCGACCCTTCTTTTTTGTAATCGCGTTTTTTATTGGTGGTTACAACGCCTTTAGGTTGTCCGATAACCGGGCTAACTTAGAGGCGAGGTTTTTGAAAAGATGTCCTTGGGTTGTCCGATAACCGGACTAACCCAAGGACTTATTTTTTATGGGTTCTGTGGAGTCGCCACCGATGTTTTTACTGGAAACATCGGAAAAGGGTTTAAAAAGGCGTTGGTTTTCGAAAACCAACTTTGGTCCGTTAAAACCAGAGTTGGGTAAGGGAGTTAGTTACGTGAAAAGGGGGGATTAGCCCCTTTACTACGCCCCTTTCGGGTTCCCTATGACAGGCCGTCTTATTTTATTGATAAATAAACTAGAAAAATACGTTTTTGCCCTTTATTTTGCGGTATTTAAAAGTATGACTACATGACCCTAGTTTCTATTGCAGCATTTATATTTAAAGCAATAAAAGTAAGAAGACAGAATTTGCACCTTCGAAGCAAGCTCTTTTTGTATTAATACTTTAAAAAGTAGGCGCTTTTTGGCAGCCCTTCACTCTACAAGACGTCGGAATATCTCTCGAACGCCGAAAAACACTCTTGGACACTCAGAAACTCCGGAAATGCGTCGGAGGGATTCTAGAGAGAGATTTTAGAGAGAAGGGAGAGCTATGCAGCTTGTGGTGTGTGGAAATGAGGGGGGGAGAGCCCCTATTTATAGTTTTTTCGGGCCTGACAGGTCTAGAACGCCGTTCTCGTCTGACAGGGCCAGACCGCCATCTGGACAGGCGAGAACGCCGTCTGGGCCTGCTGCAGTGGCCAGACCGCCGTCTGGACAGTCGGGAACGTCGTCTCGCCATTCGCAGGTGGCAAGAACGCCGTCTCGTTTGGTCAGACGGCGTTCTCGCCTTTTGCGCGAGGTGAGACGGCGGTCTGGGCTCTCCAGACGGTGGTCTCGTCCCTAAAAGGCGAGAAACCTTTATTCTGTGCAGAAAAAACCTCCTATCCTAGTATGGGGGCCTAATAGTCTCTCCTAGTGGCTTGTTAGGCTTCGTCCATCTTCGAATAGTGGTTTTCTGGTCCTTTATTTGGAGGCCGGGCAAGATTTGGGGTCTACAGCTGCCCCCCCTTTACCTGACTAGTCGGTTGCTGGCCTGTTGTGCCAGACAGATCGACAGGAAGGTGAAGGAGTTGACCCTCTTGCCCGGTTGGTCCTTCAGATCCTTCGCCCTTTGCAGCGGATGATCCTCTGGGGAAAAGATGTTGTGTTGTGCACCTTCAGGATACTACTTCTGACGTAGCCGATCCCTTTGGTTAACACGTGGTGGCACCTCCGGATGCTCCTTCTGACGGTAGCCGATCCTTCGGTTGATGGGTATAAACCCCCCATCAGGCTGGTAGTTGTAGTCCGCAGTGTAGGACTGGTGGCTTCACTGGGGAAAATTGTGTATTCGTGCACTTCCGAGATACTCCTTCTGACGGTAGCCGATCCCTTCGGTGGACACGTGGTAAAACCTCAGGATACTCCTTCTGATGGTAGCCGATCCTTCGGTTGATGGGTATGAACCCCCCATCAAACTGGTAGTTGCAGTCCGTTGTGTGGGACTGGATGGGTATGAACCCCCCATCGGGCTGGTACGGTCCGTTGTGTGGGACCGGATGGGTATGAACCCCCCATCAGGGTGGTACGGTCCGTTGTATGGGACCGGATGGGTATGAACCCCCCATCAGGGTGGTACAGTCCGTTGTGTGGGACCGGATGGGTATGAACCCCCCATCAGGGTGGTAGTTGCAGTCCGTTGTGTGGGACTGGATGGGTATGAACCCCCCATCAGGCTGGTACGGTCCGTTGTGTGGGATCGGATGGGTATGAACCCCCCATCAGGGTGGTAGTGTGACTTATTGATCCGGCTCGATCGCAGATCAGGCGCAATGCGTGCGCGGGTTGATAGGCATAAACCCCCTATCAGGCTGGTATAGTCCACAGCGTAGGACTGGCGGTAGTGGCGGCTTACAGTTCAGGTGGCCCATGCGCCGATCAGGCACTCCTTGTGTGCTGGTTGATAGGTATAAACCCCCTATCAGGCTGGTACAGTCCACAGCGTAGGACTGGCGGTAGTGGCGGCTTACAGTTCAGGTGGCCCATGCGCCGCTCACTTGGGGAGTGATTTCTGTGTTGGTAGATGTACTTGGACTTCTCTTTTTTGAATGGTCATCCGGTCTGTGCCGGGGATTTTGTTGGCATTTCATCCAGCTTTGTTGGTTGCTGGGGATTCTTTGCTTTTGTCCAACTCTTGCTGGTCATCCGAGTCTTGCGGATCGGTCGGGGTTTGGTTGTGTGCTGTTCGATTCTTACTTGGTAGTCGAAGTTTTGGTTGGTTGGACATACCTTTTGACAGAGTTTTACCTGGGATACCTCTATGCAAACATGAAGATGAATGCTTTTTGTTATGAAGTATGTTTGTTTGTTTTGATCCTGACAAAGTCCTATTCGTGCGACTATTTGTGTGTGTATGCTTGTTGATGCAATTTATTTGAGGGCGTCTAGAAAGTGACCGGTACTTCCTTATTCTCTCGTGTATTTTTTGTTTTAACCCTATCTTTTGCCTAGACCGCCCTTTGCGGGTTTTCAATCTAGCGGGTTTTCATTTCATTTTTTTTTGTCTAAGATATTTTGTTGGGCTTTTTCTTCTTTTTATGAAAGCCTTATCTTTTGCCTAGACCGCCCTTTGCGGGTTTTCGATCTAGCAGGCTACCCTGTTCTTTTTACTTTTGGTGGCCCTGGTTGATGATGTTCGTTTTTGTTTTTTATGCTTTCTCGAATTGCTTGTTTTATGCATGTTCATATTTCGTTAATACAGAGGCATTCACACAAGTAGGTAAAGAGAGAAAAGACAATTTTTATTGATGTATAAACAACTGGTTTATTTTTACATGGGGGTTTACAAAGGAATTTGTAAGCAAGGCTGGCCAAGGTTGGCTATACTGTATGAGGGTGTCACAATCATGTCTGTGATCTTTGTTTCCCTGTTTCTCCTGGTTACTTCAATTGAGATGCTCGAACCCGGAGTGAAGACTATGCGAAGTCTACTTGCTAGGTGAAGGTATTACCTTAGTCGCCTTTGCGGTTTTCGGCTAAGGTAATCATTGCTCCCTTTTTTTTTTTTTTTTTTTTTGAACCTCTAATTTTTGCCTAGGACGTATCCTAGCGAGGAATGTAGACCCTATCTTTTGCCCAGGACGTTCTTTGCGAATTTTCGTCCTGACGGGTCATGAGCAATGTCTTTAGGCGTGGTATTTCTTTACCGCGTCTGAGTTGATAGGGTACCGGAGCTCTTCTCCATCCATGTTAGTGAGAATGAGGGCTCCTCCTGAGAAGGCTCGCCTGACCACAAAGGGT